TTTTTTTTTAATTAAGAACTTCCAGTATAAACTATTATAGTTCGACAATTAAAATATTGATAGATAACGTGATACAATAGCTGAATTGATAATTAAACATAATGAGTATAATAGTTTAATAATAAATAGTTTATTATTATATTGTCTTGAATAATATTGAACTTTTTTTTAACTATCTCATCTTGTCTTGAATTATCTTGTAATTCAAAAATGTTTATTTCAGCTTCCAGCAATTTAATACATAGTCCAACTAGTATAGTGTTCAAATTTTGACTGAACTACGATCTTTCTCTATCTTCTCAGTTTTATTTATATATACATTAGATTATCCATTTATTCTAAAAAATAATGTACCGAAAATTCAATAACGTCAACATTTTCTCGATTATTATCGGTTCAATATTATCTTGACTTTAATTGACAATACAAAAAAAAAATTAAAATATTTTCTTGAATCTTGACTGAAATATTTTGTCTTGTATTGATTTTTTTGATTATTTTTGGCATCACTAGTTAAATCGAAATCGATTACACGACGGACATTCCGGTGCTGTGTTCGTGGTCGTTCTGCAAACGGTAGTATTTTAATTTTGTGTGTATTTATTAAACACAATTATGTACTTACAGCAAAATATAATAATGCACATTTATCATAATATTGTACGCGTCACGTAATGTGTTAAATATTTGCAAATCTAATTTGAATTCGAATTTTTATCTAATCAAATAAATCGAATCACTCTTGTAGAATTTTTTAATCGACGCGTATATATATATATAGGTAGTGACATATTTTCGGGGGGGGGGGGGCCTGATCTCAATCCTTTCCAGAAGAAAAAAAAAGATTTAATTGTAATAAATGACTCGCTACGAAGACACAGAGATAGAGAAAATTAATTTACATAATGTGGATATAAATAATTCTTCATCTGTATTTATAATAATAATAGGATAATATAATTATTAATTCTCACTTTATATGTATTTTTTATAATTTTATAAAATCACTTATTTTTTTAGAAAAATGTAAATCCCTTCTTCCTTCACAAACAATTCGAAAACACGCCACTGAATACAGGTGTACATATTAATGCAGATGGCACGTATGCAGGGACGTGAAAACGTCGTAATTCGTGTTGAGAAAGGTGCAAGACTGTTGAAAATATATTTATTTTTATTTTCATATTCACGAGTAAAAATAAAGATTTTCAGTATTTTATACTACACAATTTGATTTTGCTATAATGTCGTTAAGAAAAAAAATTGATTCAAATCTACTTTTAATACGACTTGTATTTCATTTCCTCTTCTCACGCTGGTCCTCTCAGTTAAACGCCTGGATAATCAATGTCGCTCTCGTTACTGCTATTTCACTTACTTAAAGCAGGATATAGCAGTGCTACCCTCTATTTTCGAGAAAAATAAAACTCACTGATTTCAATATTGTAGCATCAAACGTTAGTATGATTCCGAATATGAAATCGAAAATATACTAAGTTGATGTTTTCAAAAGAAAAATATTTAAATATTATTATAAGAAAAAGAATTATAAATCATATTATTTGTAATAATTAAAAGAATAAAATATAAATATATTTTTTTTTCATGAACTAGTAATATTCTATTACATTAAGCAACGTGATCCTACAGTGTACAACATTTTGTATCAATACAAATATTATATATAAGTACACTCAGCCACCAGTCATTATTAACCTAACATATTAAAATGTCTTAATTGATTTATTGTGTGTTAATGTTATACTAACGACGTGCATTTCTCTCTCTTTATCTTTGTCGAACACACACTATTTCTCTCGTATATTATAATATTATCCTTGAACGTGTAATAATGGAACCGACGGTTTAACCGCGGCTCAACGGATATGCAAAAGTACAGTTACGTACAGTTAAGTAACGTTAAGTACAGTACGAGCTGCAACCCAGGATATCGTCGGAACGTGTGATACTATGTGACGCGGTTATGTATGAAAGGAGATAGGTTCTCGTGCATATCATTACCATGACAGAACGATCATTTCATCGGATACGACCCTGCTATCGCGACCATGGTATCACATTGTGTTTTAGTCCACACGTATACGACGATAACCTTTCGATCTCTATTTATCCGTAATTTCTACTTTCTCGGCTTACGTTTTTTTTTTTTTTTTTTTTTTTTTTAACGCTTCACGGTATCTATATTCATTCATTGACGCATGAACAAGGTTTTCCAGAGGGTGCTTAACATCCCCAAATCAGAAATTACCAGGACCGGTGTTAGGGGGAGGCAAAACGGGGCATTTTTCCATGGCTTCCCGCTTAAAATTTTCATTGAAAAATATTTTGTACAAAAATCTCATAAGATAAAACATGAAATACGTGGATCACCTGGTTAGTGCGATTTATAGAGAAATCCGTTGGCGTGTAATAAAAAACAAATTAACAAAACACCAATATTGTGTTTAATATGTCATTTCACCGACGACAACCCGTACGGCACGCCGCACAGTATAGAAACTGAGTACATAGGAAATTTATTTTATAGTATTTCTTAAATCACTCATTACTCGATATCGTGTGCAGCTGTCTCCGAGTCTGATTACATATTATCACCTTTAATTGCGGCCTACAGGCTATACAGATGACTATTGTTGTTGGTAAAATAAATTTTGCCCAGGGCATCGCAAAAAGTAACGCCAGTCCTGGAAATTACCACCCCCGGCATGTTTTGAGTAACGAAATACTGTTTAAAGATGATTACTTTTGCAATTACGAGAATGAACGTATTCCTGGAGTTTGCAATGGTAATACAACAATAATTTCAAAGTAATATTTTCGTATCCTCATCGCTGTAGATATCCGTATATTTGGTTCGCCTTATTTTACCTTTTTTTTTATAAACCTAACGTTGATTTTCTTTAATGCTGTAATATTTTGTTGTGAAATTAAAATATCTTACGTCAAGTAGATGTAGTGGGTGTGGGAAGAGAGAGGGTGGGGAACATCCCACGGGTTACCTAGGGAAAATAATTTTAGCGTTCCCAAGTTGCAGACTAAGTATACGCTTATCCTCATATACAAGTACTTATGTACCTACCATACGGCTATAGTCGTAACTTTTATGCGCTTCCTCGTATTTTAATGCCGTCAATACTTAACAGCTCAACGCGAAATATGTAATGATCAACATAATATTGTGTTATATGTATGTTATATATTATATATAGTGGATCTAGATCACTTGAAAGCCGTATCATGGCGGTGAGAAGTCAAGGTCATCAGAGGAACGTGATTTGTTCAAGAAGAAATTTTGAATTTAATTAAAAACTTATATATATAAATCGTATTCAACTCATGAATAAAAAATAGTACTCATGTCGTATTACAAATAGAATAAGTTCAAACTCTAATGAAAAAAATCCAAGCAACTAATAATATTCTATCCCGATGTAATTTAAATTCACTTTCAAATAATATATTATACAGTTATTAATGTAGAACGCTCAGTAAATGTACAAGTACTATACACGTATAAAAATATGTATATCATATTCGTAATTTCAATATTCTGTTTACTCTTACCCTTTACCATGTTGTGCAATTGTTCAAACATTTCATGCTATTAGAAAGTTTGCGTTAAGTGCGATTCCAAATTCTTATCAAATAAATATTTTCGAGTATTTCATTTTAATTTATATAAATTATTAAAAATCCCAAAAGTGCCGATATTAAGTATATTATAATATTAATGACATAAAACATAATTTTCGTTAAATCAAAGTGACAAAAAAATAAGTGTAGCTATATTAAGCATTTTTAAATTTTTAATTTCTATTCGTTTCTGCAGATTTTATCCTTCTTTTTACATTTTTAGTTACAACGAAAATTAAAGTTTTCCAATACATTTTTACTATGTGTTATATCTAAAAAATAAAATAATCAATCATTTTTAAATAATTTATGACATACAAAAAATTTTTTAGAAGAAAAAAAAAGATGAAAGTATTTGAGAAATTATAAATTCTTAAAAACTAACCGTAATTTGTTTTTAACATATTTATTGTTCGTTCTTTTACTTTTCATTCCTTGCACTTGAAAAAATTTAATTGAAAAAAGTACACTTCCATAAAATAACTGATGATTATTAGAGGCAATACAGGGAAAAATTTCGGGAAAATTTGAAAAAAGTTAAAAGTTGATAAATAGCATGTTTTATTACTCATTGTATATTATTTATATATTTGCAAGTACCAACTTTGAAATAACTATTAGGGTACATTTGTAGGTCAAATAATTTTTTATAAAACGATAACTGGTAATGAGCTGACCACAATAATTAATTACTAAATATTTCAGAACTCAGGCGTCCCTGCCTCTTAGACCACACATCTAGCACCGTTACTTAAGATGTTGCTCGACCGTCGCCATCGCGTTCCCGTCAGTGCCGGAAAGAGGGTGGATCAGAGACAGTGGCACACACAAGATTTTTTTTTCGAGGGGGGGGGGGGGTCAAGGTAAAAATATAACACATTTTACAATTAACAAAATTATGCAAATCCTCAATATATTTTGACTTAAATAATAGCATTGATAATAGAATAGACTATTCTATAATCAATGATACTAGATATTAAATACTAGCTCTTCATATTTCAAACTTGTAAAATTTGTAAATTTTAACCTAGACATCGAAGAAAATTTCGTGGGAGGGGTGGGGTTTACAACCCCCCCCCCTGCGTGCGCCACTGATCAGGGAGGACTAGAGGCTTGGGGCCCGTCGTCTTATCCATATTTTTATCGTATTAAAGTGTGCACAAGTTGTGCGTATACAGCATAGCCAAACAAATGTAGGTAAAAGGGGATGGTAAACCGATCAGCCCCAGGGCTGTCAATGGTTCTCACCGGCCCCGGTCCCTGCCACTCCATCTGGACACGGCCTCGATGCCACTACGGCGTTTCGACGATTATTGTACGCATAACGTGTTCGATTTGCGCAGGTGTTGGTACGGCACGAAGAGCTTAGGTACCGGAAGCACGTGCACGTGGTGCGCGTGCTGCTCATCAACGTGATCGTGGTGCTGGTCATGTGGCTGCCGATGACTGTGGTCATGTGCCTGATCTACGTGGACGGCAGCCGGGACACGGAGGACACGGGCTTCTTCCTGCGGTCGCACCACTTCATCATGGGGCTGGTGTTCGCGCTGCTCAACACCGTCGTCAACCCCATCCTGTACGGCGTGCTGTCCGAGAACTTCCGCAAGTGCTTCGCCCGGCTGTGGTTCATCTCGAAGCGCCGGCGGGCCGTGAACCGCGAGCTGCTGGAAAACATGAGCAAGGGCGGCGGCGGCGGCGGCGGCGGCGGCGGTGGCGGCGGCAGCGGCTTCAGGACGCCCAGCAACGGCCACTGCAACTCGATGATGCGGCCGTGCAGTTCCGCCTCCGTGGTCGAACTCCCGGTCACCACGGCCGGTTCGTCGTCCGCCACGAACGAATGTTGGTGAGCGCGCGCCGACCCCGCAGTCCCCGCCGCGACCGTGTACCCTCCTCGTCGCTCTGCGCCACCGGCCAAAAATTCATCGTCTCTCCCACCCCCTTCCCGCAAGCGCTCGCGTCCAATCGAGGCACTTGTACGGGAACCGCTGGTGGTAACACGGCCGCCGCACACGTTCCGCTGGGTTCAGTAGGACAGTTGTGTCCGCACACTTACCGGGAAACGCGATCACCGGCGTGGTCGTTTCTTTCGCTCTCTCACGACCCGATCCTCCCGGCCGGCCGAAAGTGCTCGCGATCGTCGTCCGCCGTACGGCGCACGGTGAGCACTGCGAACTTTCGCGCACCGCAACCCGGCCGCAGCACACACGGTCGTAACGCGCTCGAAGTCGATCACGCGTTCCGTTCACCTGACCGCCGTCGATCGACGCGACACTCGGACACTCGGCCTCCGAGTTCGAGCGCGCCGGCGCCGCCGCCGCCGCCGTCGTGTTGGCCATGACCTCGGATGATCTCACTCCTATATACACATGTGTAATACACGTTTAATACAGTTATCGATGTGTATTACGTTACAATATAGAAATATAGACTACGCGTCTCGCGCGACGACATACCTAATGGTTATCGATCATTATTTTTATTATTATTGATGCGGTAAGGATCCTCGATGTCCTTTAAAAACAGATTACGATTGTTTATTATTATTGTTGTTATTTTTCAACGCGTGTAAGTCGTACACGTTCGCCTGTTAGTGCCCCTCGGTCCGTTTGTGTTTGTGCCGCAACGATCTTCCCAACGTAAGCCCGTGTTTTCTCTCTAGATCGAACACCAACTGTTTTATTCATTTCTCGTATCGTTTGCAAATGATTTTTATTTTTTTCGAACGGTTCGAACGCACGGACGACGACAGACCAAAGTGATTTTTTTGTACTTGTGTTTTTTTTTTTTACCACTGTACCTACCTTTATTATATTATATCATACTACTCTCGACGTAGAGCTTTAATATTATGTCATTATTTATATTGCCTGTGTATTATGTGTAGACTTTTTTCTACCAGATTGTTTTTACCGTACATTTGTAAGACAAATAATGTATATAATATGTATGCATACAGAATTGTGAATATATTAAAAAAAAAGTGTAAACGAGTGACGAGTTTTCATTCGTTCGATCGCGATTCATATGTTTAATGAGTCGAAAGCATAATTCATGAGTGAACACAGTTTGAAGTTCAAACGTACAGGTGTAAACAGCTTAAAAAAACTAGTACCCATCTACTTCGAAGTCGTTGCCGCTTAAAAAATATGTACGGTGTTCCGTGCGTAGGATTTAACGGTATTAGTTCAAATTTTAGAATAATAGCATATTGGATCATTATTAATACAATTATTTGGATTACCGATTATTTATCATGTCATGACTTGACATTTTTCTCCTTTGTCGTATGTTATAACATGTCCTTTTCTTTTCTTAAGCCGGGTTCACACTACACCATCGTCTTGTCGTGTATTGTAAAATGACATTTTATTTGTAAAATAATTATCTCTGATTGGCTGAACCCTGTGGTTACAATTTGGTATACCGTATAACAAATCACATGTTACCTCAATAACCTTATGTTACCGTAAAATTGATTTCAGCCAACTTTTGAACGTGTGGTAACTGATTTTAAAATTGATAATTTAATGTTCTATGATATCATGATACATAATATTATAATATTCTTCAAAGTCGTGGATGACATTCTCGTGTCATTATAAAATAAAGAGTAATAAGTATTACTTTAAATTACTTTATATTATCTGATAAATACCTCGGTTATAGTTGTAAATGTCTATAACCGTAGCAATATCCGTGGAAGATAATACCACCATTACTCGTTCCACAACCAAAAATTTTATGATATAAGATAAACAAAAATTGATACCCGTGATCAAATTGAAATATTATTGAATTTATTATCATATTATAATGATAGACTAGTAATTTATATTCTTAATTATTTATACATTACATTTTTTAAATAAATTAATGTATCATATTCAAAAACAATACGAGCCATGGGGGGCGAATTCCCTCTTCCCCTCAAAAACGCCCTTGAATAATAGTACCCAAGACCTTTTTCCTTATGGTTAAGGACATTGGAGTGTGTGTGTGTGTGTGACTCCATATCACGCAGTAGGTTGAGTAAATTTTCACCCCTAATCTATGTTATAATATATTCCCCGATCGGAAGTGTCTACTTAATGTACTACAATGTGTATTTTGTAAAATGTACTAAATATTGTTACTTAAAACTCATTGGTAATATCTTAGAGAACACGTTAATCAATATATGAGTAGCAAATAATAACTGTAAATTCTGTTCATATTAGAATCTCAAAAAATACATTGCAGTAATTATATTGCAATTAATAAATACATATATACAATGGCACCATAGACGTATTTTTCAGATGTTATATTAATAGTAATATACCCATCCACCTCTCGAAAAACTCAAAATTTAAATTAACTTTATTTGTTTCATTATTTATTTATATAATTGGTATTATACAAATATTAGCACAGAAATAATATAAAGCATGAATAACACAATTTTATAATTTTTAATTTTTAACAATAATAATAATTAATATGTCTCAAATTTATTATTTTAATTTATATGTCACAATATCTACTCACCCCTTATTTTGTAAGTGGTTTCTGGGTTGAACTTCAAAAGTTAATTCCCTGAAACAATTACGTTTTAATGCGTCATACAATCATCAGCATGTTATAACTATCTGTAAAGGAATTTATGATCCTATAATTTAGCTAAGCGTGTACCTATTAGCATAAATTGTAATTTACGACATCATACCCCCATTTACCATACACTCATTGTATTTACGCGTGTAATTTATTATTATATTATATTAAATGTGGGTACGTACAAACAACACATGGTATTATTATCAGTATTTTGATTTTTTTTTTCAAACAAAATTATAAAATGTGATGAGGACTAATATACAAGTCTACAAAAATTAGCAATGGGCACAACGTTTTAAAATTCACGTCACTGTTTGTATGCAAACATATTATAATATTAAATTGTTGTACTTCTAAATAATATATAATACAATCTGGTGTGCATACATTGGTAGATGGTATGTGTGTGTTTCTTTCAATTATTATTCACGTAGGTATGTTTCATAACAAACCAAACTATTTTTTTGTGCGACTGTGCGTACAGATTTTAAAAATCGCAGTATAATATTATACACATAAACTGCATTAGTACATACTTGTATTGTTATCCTATATCGTGAACAATTCAATGGTTAAGCGATCATGCACACTTTTGGTTTGAGACAAGTAATGTTATAGAAACATAAACACCGTTTTATCGATTTAACCATAACGCACGTTTTAATGTATATTATTAAAATATAATGCTCAGGACATATTTTGATGAATTACAAGCAGAATAGGTAAAACATGTCGGTATTTGTTTACGGAGTTTTAGAATTTCTATTTCAAATGTTATTTAACGGTCATTTCAACACAAGAAAAGTGGGTCATACCTACTAATAATTGAAGATCAAAACATTTTAATTGTACTATATTGTTTCTTCATTTTGGATTAGTTACTATTGGGCAAATGATTATCCACATTGCTATTATATTACTCATAATTTAAACATAAATAATAAATAAATTAAGCACATTTTGTTAAATTAAAATAATTTATAAATTATCTTATTACTCTTTTATGTCTACCTAGTTGTGTAATTTATTGAATAATATATAATAAAAAAAAATAATAATAAAAAAACTGCAAAAACAAAGACTATGTCAAAACAATAAAATTTAATTTAAAAAAAAAATTTAAAAACAGTTTTAATTTTTTAACCCATAATAAATACTACAAAAAAAAGTAAGTTACTTACTAAAAATATGTGTACTTATTCATAACCCGCCTCTCCCGTTGACATAAGCTGACTCCATGTAGAGATGAAAATAGGAAAAGTCGGTTTGTATTTGAAACTAAAAAAAGAAGAAATTCGTAAAATACAAAATACGTATTTTAAGTGTTAAATAAGGATTCAGGTGATATTCTTACCAATAAATACTGTAATAACATTGTTAAAAGAAAATTCTATTGAGATCAATTTATTCAACACAGAAAAGCTTTAAAAGATTTCTTCATAATAACTGTCACAACAGTTTCATGTGGAAGAACTTTTTCAAAGTTAACTCATGTTAAAACTAAGTTACGGACGATCATAACTGAACAACAATGAAAGAATGTTCCTATATGAACGTCGTCTAGCTTTTATTAGTATTAACTATAAGGTACAAATTAGAACGTATTTAGTATCCGTAGTCTACGCGTATGATTTAAGTTCAAATTTCAAGTTATAAAATTTTAGATTTCTACTATCAATAATTATTTATGTCATAATCGTTATAAAAAACATTGATGTTCCCCATCACCCTCCTCTTCTTTGTAAAAGGTAATATAATAGGTATAGAATAATTCTCATGAGTAGTCCAGTCTAATGAAACGTCTAGTTCCACCTATGCATTCGTGTACACCGTAGCAATTAATTGTATTTTGTAGACGTCAATTTTTGATTATATGCTGTTCATAGTTTTAAAATGTACCTACGTGGACGTTTAGCAAATAATTCAATATTAAATTATTGAACGAAACGCGTTGTAAAATTCCGAATATGTCAGGTTTTATGGGAAATCCTGTCTCGAAGAAAAAAAATTATTGAGATCTAAACGTAAAAATAATCATTTGAAATGGCAAGCCGTGACAAAATGTCGTTTACGCGTTACGCCTGACGTAGGTACACTCGCCGAATAAATAATCAACGAGAAATGTTTATCGCACGACGTGTTGCTTGTTTAAAAACTATTAACGTTTCGGTTTCGCGGTGTATATTTTGTTTTAGATTCCATAGTTTTTTTTTTTTGTCTCGGAAACATTTTGCACGGATTAATATCAAATGTTTTTAGCAATGACGCCCACAGCTATTAGCAACAAATGTACATACGTTCACGCGAATTCCATTATTTTGCCCGGTGTTGGCCGAGGCCTATGAGTTGTGATGCCTGATGAGCGACAGGTTGCTACAATCGACAATTGTTTTGAACAAATAATGACTTCACAATACCTACTTGATTTGTCATACATATAGATACTGTTTTTTGAATCTTTTCGCATGGCTAACGAACATTCAATGTGTAATTAAAATTTCAACTCTGTTAAATATTCGATACCATAACCGTCTCGGTAAAAATGAAATACCTAGGTAATAAATAATAAACATTAATACGCTGAAACAATGTTATCAATATTTTTTAATTTTTTTTTTTTACCGAACTGGTAATTTAACTTGGTTATTTAATTTAAAATAGGTACTTACCATCGTACCAAGTTGCTTATAGGTTTTAAGGTAAATTTTATTATTTTATTTTTTAATTCGCAACTATTCTTACACATGGTATCATGTTCTATTTTAGGTTATTTCATTAATTAATACATCCAAATACAGTCGACTCCCGTTAATTTGAATTAAATGCTCGTTCTCTTGGAAATCTCACAGTAATTAAAAAAAAAAAAAAATTCATAAGTCCCACCAACTTCGAATTATTGAGAGTCGACGATATCAAAATTTTAAAAAATATTTTGCAATCATATATCATGTTTAGATAAATAGGTAAACAATTAATTTATATACAGAAATAAATAAATGTTTAATCTGGATTAGGGGGGCAAGGGGGTATTACCCCCTAGACCTAATCGTTGCTTCCCTCCAACAAGTATTAAATGCGCATATGTACTATGTAGTGGTATGTTTTGCGCTATACTATAGCGCCTGTACTGTTTTTTTCAAATGTCCCCCTTGAAATTTGGTCTGACTACAGTCCTGGCCTGGAGCATTATTATATTTGTAAAGTACGACCTGTTTCAAATATAATAATATTCAAGACTAAGCATTTATTTATTTTAAAATTAGAAATCTAAATGATTCAGTAAATTTACATTTTAAAAACAATATATCATAAGTCTTTGAAATATTTAACATTATTTTTATGTAGTTCCTTCAAAGTTGAAAATAGTCTAGTACCGGAAGAATTAATTTTAGAAACCAAAATTTTTTTTTATGAACTAATACAAACTATACTATTAAGACACATTTATCAGTAATTTATTAAAAATATTACAAAGTATTTAATGTACTGATATTTTTCATTAAAAAAATTTAATATAGATTAATTTAATTTGAATATAATTTAGGTCAATTAATAAATATAACTCATTGAATGTATATCTAAATATTTAATAATTGAAAAATTAATAAACCTATACAAACACGAAAATATTAATCTTGTCCGAGCTGATTCATATAAAAATAATAAAAAATTCTTAATTAAAAAATAAATTACGAGTATAACTCACGAACCTAAACAAAATAATATAAATATTAAATAAATAAATTGTTGTTTGAAAGAAAAGACATAATAGCCATGGAAGGGATCAATAAGATATATTATTAATATAAATTAAATCAATTTTTCTTGAAACAATACAAACATTATACTGAGCTATATAAAAATAAAATATTTAATGTTGTTTAATATACAAATAATCACATCAGGGTTGAATCAATCAATCTAATTTGTATACATCACAAGACATATTTATTGAGTTTCTTTGCTGCTAATATTACGTACAGGACTAGACCCTGATCCTTGTAGTACTTTTCGTGACAGTCTCATAATTCCAGATACAGGGTCTCGACCAAAATACTTTACTTGAATCTCATGTCCTTCCTCAATACCCAAAGCACTTGGATGATTCACCTAAAGGTAAAAGTAAATAAAACATATGTATTTTTTTTAATGATAAAACATCTAAAATTATACACAAACATTTACATGAAATATAAGTTATTTTTGAGATTGAAAAACACTATAGCTTGTCATTATTTATTTGTACTTGAAATAACCTTAACTAATATCTTATTTAAATTTTAAGCCCAAGCAAAACTTTATAAAAATAATATGTGTTATAAAAAATGAGTATAGTAAAACTTCTGTTTATGGTCACCTTTATAGAATGGTCACCTCTATGCAATGGTCAATTTTTTTGATCCCGTCAAGTAATACAGAAAAATTACATTAACACATATAGCAGGTTACTCTAATTAACTGTCAAAGTAGAAAAATATTTCAAATAAAAGATGGAAAAATTGAAAAATGTTAATTATTTTTGACAGTTAATCTTAATTTAGTGCATTTATGATGTTGATAATGTGATGGATAATTGTCTATGACTGTGAATTGACTATTTCATTAATGTTCAGAGTATAAAAAATTTCGAAGTGCGTGTAGTTTTTATAGTATTCAAATGAAAATATCTAGCTTTCACGTGAAAAATAAAATTTATATATTCATATAATGTTTGAATATTATAGTTTTAATATATATGAGTTAATTTTAAAAATCTTACATTCTGTAACATGACTATATTCATTATATAAATAAACCAATAACTATGTTACCATCAAAAGAAATAAAGATAATGTTTAACAAATAAGCATTCTTAAAATTAATAATTTATTTTAAATAAAATCTAAATTATAAAAAAACTATAACACCAAATACTTTTAACTAATTTTATTTTTTTCCTTCTGTTTTAATTATTTATACTAATTGTAGTTTGTACAAATTTTGAATAAAAAAAATAAATAAAAAAGCAATTAATTGTAAGATTTTCATTAAAATATCAATTAAAATCTGTGTACCTTTCTTTGATCTAGTTGAGAATTATGAACCAAAGCTGGCTGCATTGAAGGATACAATGTGACCATTACACCAATTTCTCGTACTTCAACTACTTTCGCTTTGTAAATAGCACCAAATTCAAGAACTGGTTCAGATTTTTCAGCTAAAAGTTTATCAACCATTTCTTTAGCTTCACTCAATGCTTCTTGATTGGGTGCAAATATTGTAAATCCATCATTTTCAGAATCCGAAGATATCTTAGCAAAAATTGAAATTATTACAAATATATACATAAATCATTTCTGTTAGTTTCTACCTGTGAACCAGTTTCCAGCATAATACGTTTTAAATTGATTCCTCCAGGGCCAAGTAGCTTACCCTTTTTATGTACTGGTACATTTAATGGTTCTGTTATTGGCCAGTTATCTTTTTTTGATTTTCTGAAGTTAAATTAATTAATATGTGAAATCATTTTTCTAATACAATAAACATACCTTGTGCTTTTAATTGTTTCATTCATAATATTAATAATATTATGTTTAGCTTTTGAAGCAGCTTCTACTGCTTCCATAACAATTTTCAATGGTAAGCCAGGAATTTTTATGTCGGCTTGTAATGCCGTAATGCCTTTTTTTGTACCAGCTAATTTGAAATCCATATCACCTAAATAGTCTTCAATGCCCTAAGTTAAAATGGATATAGATAAATCAAAAAAGAAAGAATATAAATTAGATAAAATAACCTGATAACATATTTTTCTTAAAAATAAATATGTTCTTACTAGTATATCAGTCAAGATTCTATAGTCTTTAATATGCTTAGAATCACCATTTTCATAATTAGCTATCAAACCAATAGCCACCCCAGCAGCAGGTTGATCAATAGGCACACCGGCATCCATTAAAGCTAAACTTCCACCACATACAGATGCCATAGATGATGACCCTATAAAACTGACAATATTAGTAACAATATTCTTAATATAAAAAATTTTCTTTAATGTATACACACCATTTGATTCCAGAACTTCAGATGTCAGACGTATGGTGAATGGAAAATTTTCAGGAACAACTGATCTTAAACCTCGTTCTGCTAATGCTCCATGTCCTATTTCACGTCGCATAAATGGACTCATACGACCAATATCATTAGTTGCATATGGAGGGAATTCATAATGAAGAAAAAAATTCTTTTCATTTATACCACTAAAATTAATTATAAATTTAAATATAATTTAAAGCTAAAATGACTGAAATAAATAGAATGCATTAATAACTAATATAGCTCAGATGGTTATGACAGTATATTATTTTAGTACAATCAGATTGATATTCAAATACAATATAAATTTGATTCATGAAATCTAAAATGCAAATAAGCAATCTTTCTTTGTATAAAATTGCATATATTTCTAGATTTAGTAGCATATTTATTAATTATACAGCCACTATATAGCTATATATATATATACATATATATACACACTTGTTCAAACACGTTTAAGTTTACTGTTAATTAGTTAATTGAGAACATTTGGAAAAAACAAAAAATAGTGCAAAAATATTTATATAAGAACAGAGAAAAATGTATCCAATTTAGTTATAAATATAATTTCACATAAATTATAAATTGCAACATCAGCTCCATAAGATAAAGCAATATACACAACATTTCAAATAAACAAAGATAAACAAAAATTATTAGAGGATGAAACAGATTCACTCTAACATCCGAACTCTATAATCATCAATGACTAATATATAATAATAGAAAATTACTTAAAAAATACAGATTATATTAATACTAATATTACGAACCTAGTTAATATTGTCATTGGATCAAGTTTAAGTGCAGAGTCCAAAGAATCTAAAGAAACTGTACAAAATACTTGTGTTTGTCCTCTTTGAAATAATGCTGAACCGTGAAGAGGTTTGTATAAGTCAACTTCACATGAAATATTTCGAAGTTCATCGAGTTTACGCCCATCACATCTACAAATAAAATAATTTAAGAATTTAATATTCAAACAAATAAATCAAATCTAAAACTTATTTACCTAGTATCATTTTCAAAAATTAAATTTCGAAAAATTCTTTTAGAAATTTTATCAAAAATTAATGAACAGAGTTCTAAATTTAAATTATCAAAATTTGATTTAAGATTTTCAATAATTTCTGTTTTAACATCTTTGATAGCTGTATCTCTAGATAATTTATCATGATTAGAATTAGTAAATATTTCTCGTAATTTAATTTCACATAAACTATCTATAACAGTTTCTAAATTTCCATCAGTATCATCTACATTCTTAGTCTCAAATTCTCTTTTAGGTTTGCCAAATTCTTTTTGTAAACTATTAATACCATTTACAATATGTTGGCATTCTCTAACACCAAATTTAATTGCTTTTAAAACATCTTGTTGCAGAACATTATTTGCAGATCCTTCCAACATAACAACTAAATTTTGAGCAGCAGATACAACAACAAGATTCAATTCACTATTGGACAACTCACGACGAGTTGGATTGGTAACTAAATTGCCATCACACATTCCTACACGAACAGCACCAACTGGACCATTCCAAGGAATGTCGGATAAAGCTAGAGCTGTTGAAGCAGCATTTATACTTAATATGTCAGGATGGTTAACTCCATCAACTGCTAATAAATTACACATAATCTAAAATATAAAAGATAAATTAATAAATTTACTATTAACTCAAAAATAGTAAGTAAAAAAGTTCAGAAAATTACTTGGGTGTCAAAACAATAAGAAGAAGGAAACAAAGGCCTTAGTGAACGGTCGATTAATCTGCTAGTAAGTATTTCATGTTCAGATACAGAAAGTTCCCGTCGTAAGTAATTTGTTGGTATTCGACCAGCTGCAGCTGCCTTTTGCCGATAATCTACAGTTAGGGGTAAAAAATTTGAAGAAGATTTTATGGATTTGCTCACTGTTGTTGCCATGACTGAAGTGTCACCAATTGTAGCAACTGCACAGCCATCGGATAGCCGGGCATATTTGCCTCCAGAGAGCTTTAATGAATTCCTATAATGATAGAATAAAATATCAAAATGTAATACTATTTAAAATGTACTGGATATATATTACCTTTCTGAGAAATTAACTTTGTACTCAAACAATTTACTCGTATCAATAGACAGCCATCGTTTGACATAGTACATACCATATCGCGATGAGCAGGCATGCCACCGAGAAGAAACTCGGGATATCATTGCAGTAAATATTTTATAAATTCATTTTAAAATCGAAATTTAATATAATGTACCAAGATCTAGGAAACTAATAAAATTTAGAACCGAAAAGAACTTCCGGTAAATAAATTAAACACATACAAAACATTATCTACACGTGATACCAAATGTTATCAATTTATTATTATTTCTTATAATCGATGTGATAACAGGAAAAAAATACATGTGCTCTAAAATTGCTGGTATATTAACTATTCCACGGTTATTGATAATAGTTGATAACCAGTTTTGTACAAGACTATATAATTTAAATTCTAAATTTAGCTCTTAAAAACAACATTTGAAGAATGAAATTTTTTGGTTGAATAAAAAAATTAACCAGGAAATAGATTTAAATTATATGTATTAATCTTTACGAGTTTCTTTTTTTTTTTATGTATCCTTCTTGACTCAATAACTGAAGTTTTAAAATCAATCACGTGTAATTGGAAAACATATGGTGCTAAAAACGATTATCATCTGAATCTTACTCAGAAAAGTCTACATATTTTCATATTAGTTTCTAACGTTTCCAAATATTTTTTATTCATTCCAAACGGCTATCATACCCGTGGTTATTTTACTTAAAAATCTGGAGATACCTACTATGTAATAATTTAAGTATTAGAACTTATACATTAGGTGGTATCTTATTAGATCTTAGTCAGTACCTATAAAATATTAACAATAAAAAATAAAAGTATCAATTGTAAATTGAATTGGCTCATTTTTCAATAACCACTTAGTTTACTGTAAATTATGTTAGTGATGAATTAAATTAAAAAGTATGAAATAACGAAGTTAGCAAACTTTATGGTCTGCTTAAGTCTATGTAGTGCGATTGAGATATTTTTTATATTTCTGTGTTATCTTGACTACCTTAGGTGCAAAACCATGTTATCTCCATTACCTAACGTAATTTATTAAATAATAAAAAAAATATATATTCGTATTATATTGTTGACATTTAACTAACATAGAGTTAACAGTAATAATTTAAAATTTAGATCTATCATTAAACACAATAAAATGTAATTAAGTAAACATAGATAACATCTAAAAATTTGTATAAAAAAAAAATATAATAGTACAAAACATTTAGTAAATAATTTTTTTTTTTTGAGGAGAAAAGCAGGTCTTAACAGTGACGGCACAAAATTTATTTTCCAACAAAGCAGTTACATGTATCGAGTACCCACCCCAAGTCAAAATTTAGATCCAGAGTTCAATCGTACTTATAGTTACATAGATATTAAAATTAACGTGTCCAAACAAAATAATTTATAATAATATTTTGTATCAAATGTTGCAAATCATATAATAAACTTTTCTGTCACACATCTACCTACACACCCGCCCCATTTCACATGAAACAGCTGCTTTATTAAAACCCGCATCACGCCACCATTGGGTTTTAAGATGCATCAACATTTTATTAAATGGTAGATCGTCTGCAAGGTTTTGAAAACAAATTCAGTGAGGTATAAATTTAGATGATGGCGAGCTTAATTCCCATGGGGATTGAAGGATTGAACACCTTTGCAAAGGTGTTTAATCCTTCAATCGTTTGGGTATATGCTCCTGTGGTTGGGTCTACAAAATTATAAGTATAATTAACAGTATAGTGATCGAAGCCTAATGATTTTAATAATTCGATGTTATTTGCACGCTAAAATCTGAATAGATTATGGTACCTTCTTGAATGTTGTTCTTGATCGCCGTAAGCAGAGTTTCTGTTTTTCTGTCTAACACTTTTATGAAAAATTACTCTTTTGTCTCGTGACTAATTTCTCCAAATATCCACTGTTCGGGAAGTACCCTCCCAGCATGATTTTTTTTCTTTTCGAAAATAAACTTTCATCGATCTCCACAATTTTCTCCGGTCCACCTATTTTTCCTTATGGTTTATTTTCAATAGCCATCGCACATACTTCATGAAAGTAATTATTCCAGTCAATAACTGTATTTACACTTAAATGTAATTCTTGTTCACCCGAGTTAATACTTGTAATTTCATGAGACCAGCTATATATAAATCACACGGTAAATTTTCGTGATTTCACAAACTAATTACCATTACATATATTTACCTTTTTTGGCATTTTTTAACATTACATTTCCAAATTATCTCTCTTCCAAAATATAACTTTATTCGGACGATTCCGTACACTTGGCAACACGCCGCATTAGTGGCGCCCCAGATATATTTTTCAGGTGTAGCAAGACTACTTACTATACCCACCCAATCAGTGGCGTACATTCAATCTTGCTCTGGGGACGGGGGGTTAACAAAAATAATCGTTATCTTTTTTTTTTTTCGTTACATAGATAAATTAGATAAATTAATTATTTTATACAACTTTTTTACCAATTTACAGTTTACTTTTACATTACAGTAAATTAATAGCTATTGGAATATAAAAACAACATAGTTAACAAAACTTTTCAAACACCTATCAACATAATTATTTAATTATCATAATATTTGTATAGTTGTATATTTTAAGTTCAAAGCGTAGTAATGAAACTACGAATATATTACACGTCATCAATAATAAAACAAATTTCTTTTTCTTTTTTTGGCTCTGGGGGGGGGGGGGTTGAACCCGGACTCCCCCACCCCGTATGTACACTACTGCACCCAATACCCGAAAAACTCAAAATTTACATATCGTTTTTTGTTTTATTATTTATTAATATTATAGGTATTATACAACTATCACAGAAATAATATAAAGTATGAATATCACAATTTTATCATTTTTAATTTTTAACAATAATAATTAATATGTCTCAAATTTATTATTTTAACTTATATGTTAAAATACTCACCCCTTATTTTCTAGGTACAGCGGCTGGTTAGGCGCCACTGCTCCGCGTTCTTGTAGATAATGAACAGCTTCCTTCACTAACGATAGAAAATTAAAAACATTCATATTGGCTAAACGTAGCGTTAATATGGACAATAGGATAATTGTCCATATAAAATAGTTAAAGTAAACTTATTGATTTATAGCAACGATCGGTTACCTTTTTGAACCCTTGGGCCACATTCACAAATTAAAAAGAGTTTACAAACAATACAAAATATTGACATGATATTCAATGAAATTTCCTAGTATTGTAATTTAATGCAGGTCGTATAAAAGAGACCTTTGAGCCAGGGGTATATTTAGACTTACTTCTAGGGGGGGGACTCAAATTTTTTTTTTAATTCAGGCTTAAAATGTACAAGTCAAATGTTGGTAACATTTAAATCGGGTGAATCTTAAATGTTTGAGGTTTTTTTTTTTAATCTAATGTCGGATCCACTTAGAATCGACTTTTGTGTGGTTCTTTTTTAACACTTAACTGTGTTTTGAAAGTTATGCTTGTGTTTTATTTGATTTTTCACTAAGTATGGACCTGAAAAAAGCTCAATAATTGAATTATTCAGTATTCACAGCGTAATTTGATTTTGTTATAAAATGATACACATTAAAAAAATTTGTAACGTGAATTCAGGAGGGGCAATTACCCCCTTCGCCAACCCTAAAATACACCCCTGCTGTGAGCCAGATGTGGCCCATGGGAAACCGGTCGCTGACCACTGGCTTATAGTCAATTGTACATCAAACACAAAATTGTTCATCATGACGATACAGATTTCAACCCAGGAATATACATTTACAAATATATTCCTCATATATATATATATATATATATATATATATATATAGATATTCTCACATAAATAAGATGTAAACGTCTAGAGTGGCTGAGACATGTGTGGAGAGCTGATGGAGATTTATTAAAAAATTTTCTAGTAAGTAAAATAAATAAAAACCATCTACTTGAAAGACCAAGAACAGGATGGAAAGACACAGTAGAAAAGGACATGAGACTGATAGAAGCGAATACAATGTTAGACTGGACTTTGCACAGAGAAAAATGAAAAGGCTTACTTGGCAGCACAGGTCCTAAATGGACCATTAAACTGTTGATGATGATGATGATGTATGCAACATTATATTATTGTATAATAATATAATATACATTATATTTTATTGTTAGACATTTTAGGTTTATGTTTAGTGTTTTATTCGATACATAGATAAAGGCTATTTAGGCGTAGTATTTTGCTTTGGGAAATTTGAATTTTATTTACATTTTGTTTTTTTATTGAACCTCAAGTTTGGACGCCGTACTTCTAAATTGGGTTTAGTAAACTTTTGTAGATATTAGATTAATTTTGGATTGATTTGAGCTTAAAAAATATTTGCAGATCCAATGTCGGAAGTTTATTCTAAGTTTGGTGGCTTTGTCAAAATGAACCTCACAGTATTTTGTGTTGAGTAATGTAGAAATTATTGAAACATCGAAAGTAATTCAAACACAGATGCCTTATTGTTTTAGTGTTTAGTGTAAGAGTAATGTGACCGGATTTATTTCTGTTAGTTTTCAATTTTTAATCAAAAATATATGATAACGACGCAACTACGCAGGTATATTTTCAGTTTAATTTAGTTAAAAATGAATAATATTTTATCGTTAAGCCATGTGTAACCGTGAGATAAGGATGTAGTATGTGTTAAACCGTTGATAATTATTTTATAAATTATTTGAACTGTAATATTTATTGAATTTATTATAAAATCATAGATTACGTCATTGGTGGTTATGCTTCATACGTGTACAATATATATATATATATATATATATATATATATATTCTTAATATTATTATTGTTATTATTATTATTCAATTGAAATGACATGCATATGACAGAATTTAATTCATACATTACTCAGTCACCAAATGCTTTTTACAAAATATGTTATTTAGTATTATATTCTCCACTCATATTTCAATAATATAATAAATATAATAAATTGAATTTTTGATTTGGTAGAACCGTTTAGTGGAGGCAGACAAGTAGGATCGTAGAGTATAATTCTATAGGTCCAATAGATTAATTTTTGTATTTTATATAACTTTGACACTTAATATTTTGATTTTTATAATATAAACAATGATTTATATTCCAAGATTTACATCGCGTAACTCTAATTCTAGAGAGCTGTCGTCTTGCTAATACAATTTCAGAAATTTAATTATATTGTCATGCATGCTCATTAATGCTTTCAAAATATCTGCAAAAATTATTACTCTAGGGCAGGAATTTCAACGTATAGATACATAATTTATCAATTAAGTCAATGTTTATTTCAATCCAAACAATAATGTAAATAGAACATGTGTACAGTTCTGAAAGAAATTTGTTCGGGATTTTTTTTAAAATTGTTATCAATCTTCGAGTTATAGATCGTTTTTTTTTATACATAAATATAACATATAAACATTTGACCTAGTTTTCATTTTTTTAATTGTAAAGTATAATTTATTTTTCAGAAACTAATTAGATAATCATCAGAAAGTAATATTACCATAACAATTAACAATAACGTTTTTTTTTACTCTATTTGTTCTATCCTATCTTAGGGCCTTGCTAGATTAAAGTATTTTAATTTTAAATTCATCAAAGAAAAAAAATATATATATTTTTTTCAATTTTTGTTTTCAGATAATAAAAATGAATTCTTACTATCGATTTTTTCTCTTAATAAGGGGCATTAAAATATTATTGTTACATTACATAAAATGTAATAAAAAAAACTTTTAAAAATATTGGAATTTGTATTCAGTGCCATAACTAGAGATTAGCCATATGGGCGGTTGCCATGGGCGGAGCAAAGTTAGGGGGCGCGTTTGAGTTGAATTTAAATTGATTTTTGTTTTACATAAAATAGGCGCCAAGGGTGTCACGAAAGTTATCTATGGTAGGTGCTGTATGTTTAACAGAATAGAATGCGAAACGATTCATGAAACGTAATCATACAAAAAAGATTAGGCGGATCGTTGTACGTTGGAACACCGCCTAACATAAAGTTCTACAAGGTCTTTCTTTTACCGCTCGTTCATCGGCCGGCGTTGCCAACTTTACCGGATCACTTGTCGCGAATGCAGATTCTACTGTTTGACAAATAATTTCGTTGATAACCGAATGCATTTGATAACCGCGACGATAACAATAAAATCCACGAAAAAAAAACCCATAAAGCTATACAAAATTATTGTAATTTTTGTAGATCATCTTGATTATTTGTCATACAAATAGCACTTATGTGTTTGTTCATTAAATAATAATCCGGTGTGAACTATTGGTTCCTTATTTTTATATTTTTTTATTGTTTTATTTCTTACACGTTGAAATTTATTTACATACTCGAGTTTACAAAACGGAACAATAATTAATCGTTTTATTATTGTTCGCTCACGAAACAAGGTAATTGCATTGCTTAATTATTGTTCGCTTATCTAGTACACGGTATTCTTTCGTTTCGGTGGCGAAAAAATGTTTATGGTTTCTCTTTTTGTAAATCTTTATTACAGTGAAATATTACTTCAATCGCTCTTTTTCCATTGTAACATCAGACAATGATAGATTATTCAATTATTGTTGATGCCAAAAATTACGCTTAATAATATTGAAAAAACATATGACGTGTGATAGAGTAATGCCAATGAAATATAATATCTTAATTTTTTTCATTATTTCAATATTTTAGTATGACACAAATGGAGGACCAAGAGAAGCAATTGGAGATTGCATTAGCATCAGTTCAAAAACAAGGAGTCCACATGAAAATGTGCTTGGATAAAAATAAGCTGATGGAAGCACTCAAACACGCGTCTGCTATGCTAGCCGAATTACGAACTTCTTTACTATCACCGAAGAGCTACTATGAACTATGTATGGGGTTTTTTACTTTAAGCTTATATTTATTATAATTTATTTGTTATTAAATTTGTATTATATATTTACAGTTATGAAAGTGACCAATGAACTGTGTTATCTGGACTTGTATCTTGTAGAAGAATTTGAACGTGGTCGTAAGGTTGATGATTTATATCAAATCATACAGTATGCTGGAAATATTGTACCTCGTCTGTATGTATCCTTCAACCATTTATATAAATACTTTTATAATTATTAATATTTTTTTTTCTTAGATATTTATTAATTACTGTTGGATTAGTTTATATTAAAACAAATACCAACTTAAAACGAGATCTTTTAAAAGATCTTGTAGAAATGTGTCGTGGAGTCCAGCATCCTTTGCGTGGTTTGTTTTTACGCCATTATTTACTACAATGTTCTAAAAATGTGTTACCTGATATCCCAGATAATGAAGATATTGAGCATCCTGAAGGCACTGTAAGGGAATCTTAAAAATATTAACTTATTTATGATATATTATTGTACTATAATTAAATATTTAATGAACGCACATTAAACATTTTTTGAGTTAAATATTAATCACTTTATTGGTATTTGCTTTCATTATAGGTTCGTGACTCCATTGATTTTATACTGATGAATTTCGCTGAAATGAATAAGCTATGGGTTAGGATGCAACATCAAGGACATTCTAGAGAAAAAGAACGCCGTGAAAAAGAACGTGAAGAGTTAAAAATTCTTGTTGGTACTAATTTGGTCAGATTATCACATTTAGATAGTATTACATTGGATAAATATCGTAAAGTAAGACATTTTATTTTATTAGTTATATATTTATATTACTATGGAATAGAATTCCTATTTATTTGATATTTAAGAGAATTTAGAACATTTGAAGTATCAAATTTCATCTAAGACTAATTATTTACACTAATATTAACATTTTTAGTTTCTTATAGGTATAGATTGCTTATACTATATTATTATATTTAGCTATTGCTTACTACTTATATAGTATAGACATAAAAAAAGATTCTGAAAGTAGGTTAAATACTTTCAAAACCTCAAGTTCTGGAATAATGTAGTATCCTTATAATTAAAGGTGGGTCTAGATATATGAAATTAGGAGAGTGGGTTAATTTGAATTTACTGAAAGACAAATTAAATAATTTTAGTAAATACATATGTTAGTTTTAATTAGGGCAGAGAATTTGTAGCTTTACAATTTCCCCAAATAGGCATTTAAATATACAAAATATGCATTTTAAAATAAATTTTTTTGAACGACAAACAAGAATTATTTTATTTAAAAACTTACAAGTTACAATTAATTAATTGGGTTAATTTTATGGGTTTTCTTATTTGGATACTTACTTTAGGCATTTCTTATAATAAATAGTAAATATAACGTGTTTGGACTGTCAACCGTTGAGAAACACAGCGATTATTGAAATATGAATATGTCCGATGTCGGCGACAGGTGTTCCCGTGGCCTGTATCAATATTTTGTGTGTTGAACAATATTATCTCATCTGTCTATAAATAAAATTAATAATCCAACAATCAATCTAATCAACAACTTTCAAGACGTGTTTTTAGAAAAACCATGATAGGTCTTGGGAAAAGTAGTCAAAAACCATATTAATAGTATGATTAAAATTTAAAATAATTTTAAATTCAACGTTATTTTGTTTGTATAATTAAATAAATTAAAACATTGACGAAAAAATATTGATATAATGATAAATTATTTAAAATATGCATCAAAAAAGTATAAAATGTAAGAAATATACCTTAAAAACCAAAAAAACACAACATATGCTTCTATATGCACAATAAAATTTAAAAACTATAGCTTTGTGGAAGCATGAAATGTATTTGTCTCGCACTCTGCTATTTTTTGTAACTGTAAAAAACATATGCAAATGCTACAAGTCCTCTGCTCTAATTATAATATACTTTAAAATTATAAAATATGAAAAATTAACTAGTTAATTAGTTTTTTGACTAATCTTTAATTAAAGACATACCTATATATATATATATTTCTTAGATGCTTACATAATATATAATATATCCAATGGGGATTAAAGCTCTTTAGCCTCTCTCCTTTACTTGAATTCATGTTTGCTTCTTAGAATTGTTTTCTGTTTGGGAGGAAAAAAATAATTGCAGGTTTATTAGGTCTAAATATTAATCAAATTTTTTTGTGGAGTGCAGCTATTTATTTCAATAGTAAATTAAAATATTTATTAAAATTAATCATATTCATAACTTGAATTAAGTTAGGTCTCTTTAATTATTTTCCCTTGTTGAATTATGTTCCATGACCTGTTATAGTTTATCGTTTATTCTCTTATACATTGTATTCAGTCTGATTACTGTAAATTTTCGATTATTGATAATAAAATAATTGAATATTTATTTGTTTCACTAAGTTTGATATGAACTTCTAGTATTAAAATCATATTAAATTATATTATAAATAAAATATAATATAAAAAAAAATTGGTATTATATAGTTTTTTTAAGTTAGGTTACTATTAATTCAAAAAAGTTTAACCTAACATATATTTTTTAGGTAGTTTTACCTGGTATTTTGGAACAAATTGTTAGTTGTAGAGATGCTATTGCTCAAGAGTATCTTATGGAATGTATAATTCAGGTATGTATGTCATATAATATAAATTGATAACAATTATTAAAATCTGTTGAGTTGTTTTGATCTAGACCATAACATAACAACTTAATGTTTGTATTATGTTCGAATAGTATAAAAAATATACCTTCTTTAAATTTTAGATCACAACTAAAATAACAATGAAATTAAAATGTGTTTTAAATTATTATTATCATATTATATGTTACAATTTTTTCATTCTTCGTTTTTTATTTTTTAACTTAATGTAAAGAGCTGAAAATTGAACTGAAAAATCAATATTAAATTCAAAATATTGGTCATTTTTCTGTGTAATATCCACTAAAATTTAATTATTTTTTCCAAAATGGCACTATCTTGAAACTTCTTTTGTTGTATTAAGATACACATTTTTACTAAAATTACTACTCCTTATTTTTATTATTGTTCATTAGTTTTAATAAGTTAACCCTTAAATATTGTTTTAACAGAAAAAAAAATCTGAACAATTATTGGGATATCCTAAATTTTTCTATTCATTTACTTTAGCTGTTTGGTGTTGGGAATTGCATTGTTTAAAAAAAAATGTGTTTTGATTTATAAATTATTACAGTCAAATTGTAATTTCAATGTTTTACCAAATCTGAAGTTTTAATACATAAATTAGAATTAAGTTTTTCTTTCGCTATTTAAAAAAAAAAATCTAGGTGTAATAGATATTTTTTAACAGTCCAGAAAAACTGAGGTCATGACATCTCTTGTTATTAAAGTACTCAAATATAAGCAAGTCTTAGAATACTATTCCTACATCTCATAACATGTAATAATGTATATTAGAAATTTTCCTTCTTAATTTAGGATGGTACTTTTGTTAAAAATAGTCAAAATATATATCTCACTATAAAAAAAGTATATTCAAACTAATATCATGATGTGTAAAATACATACATTTTAATATTTATTATGTGGAAAAATAATCTACATTTCAGATTCATTTAATATATTGTTTTCACTTAAATAATAATATTTATATATATTCTTTGTCCTTTTTTAGGGTAACTCTTTTAGAATCTCTATTTTTAATTTAAAATAATCAAGTTATTAATATTGTTTGAAAAATGTATAGGTTTTTCCTGATGAATTTCATCTATATACCCTAAACGTGTTTCTTAAGTCCTGTTGTGAGTTGCAGCCATCTGTAAATGTGAAAACTATTGTCATTTTAATGATTAATCGTCTAACAGTGTTTACTTTTCACAATTCCAATGCATCTGAAGTGAAATTATTTGAAGTACTCACTGAACAAATAGCCAATATTATTCAGGTATCACATAATAATTTTTAAGTGGTTAATTATATTTTAACATTAAAGTGCAGTACAATAATAATTCATGTTTTTTTCCAGAGCCGTGATTTACCACTTGAAGATACTGTGTCACTTCAAGCTGCTATGGTTGGCTTAGCTCTCAAATGCTATCCTGATAATTTAGATTATGTTGACAAATCCCTTCAAACCATTTCTGATACCTTTGCCAGGCGCAAAATTGAAAAGTAAGCATATTGATTTTCTGTTAAATTAATAATAAAATATGTATTAATATTAAATGTATTTATATTTTGAACTTTAGGATTAGTCATAAAAATCCAGTATCTAGAGAGTTGATGGCTTTAATGAAGTTGCCCATTGACAATTATAATGATCTTCTTTTAGTAATGAAGCTGAAGCACTTTCCTGAAATTATCGAGTATTTTGATTATACTGGTCGTAAAACTATTGCTATTTACTTACTACAAAATGCTGTTCAGTGCAGAACTATGATTCCATCGGTTGAACAGGTATTTTGTAAATTAGAACATAATTTTTAAATATTTTTTATTATAAATTTTACTGTATTTATTATCATTGGAACAGTCAATATATTAATTTAGTTATAATCATCAATTTATTATTTATTTTTACAGGCAGATATTGTTCTAAATATGGTATCTCCATTGGTTAAAGATCAGCCTGACCAACCAATTGGCGAAGAAGATCCTGAAGATTTTGCTGAAGAACAAAGTCTTCTCGGAAGGTTTGTGATTCTATTATTTTAGGCTGTTATTGTTATTAATTATTGCTTATATGTATTTTATTTTATAGGTTTGTTCATCACATGAAAGCAGATGAACCAGATCTGCAATTTAAAATTTTGATGGCAGAGAGAGAACATTATAGTTTAGGGGGAAATAAACGAATTTGTTACACATTACCATCTCTTGTATTTCAAGCATATCAACTGGCATTGATCTATAGTGGAAAAAGAGAACAGGTAAGTTAAAAAAGAATTAAATTTTTTCATGATTAATAAGTGTTGTTAATTATTAATTTTAAGGATGAGTTGTGGGAGAAAAAGTGCCGTAAAATATTCCAGTTCTGTCATCAGACAATTTTAGAACTAACTAAAGCAGAGCTTGCTGAATTACCACTGAGATTATTTTTACAAGGAGCTTTAACCATTTCACAAATAAATTTCAAAAACTACGAAACAGTGGCCTATGAATTCTACTCTCAAGTAATTACTAAGATAACTGCATACATTGTACTATGCTCTTATAAATAGTATATTTCATTAATACCTGTATTTTATTGATTAATTAAGGCGTTTACACTGTACGAAGAAGAAATATCTGAAAGTAAATGTCAATTAGCTGCTATTATTTTACTGATTGGTACTTTTGAAAAGATAAATTGCTTTGATGAAGAAAATGCTGAACCAGTTCGTACCCAGTGTGCTCTGGCAGCATCTAAATTATTAAAAAAGCCAGATCAATGTCGAGCTGTAGCTATTAGTTCACATTTGTTTTGGTCTGCACAAAACAATCTTGGACAGCCAGTAAGCAAATTCATAATTAATTTCATGCTCTTTAAACATTCTAAATAACTTTTTATGCTCATTTTGTGAATTGATAATTGTAACACTAGATTCAAGATGGTAATAGAGTAATGGATTGCTTGAAAAAATGTGTACGCATTACTAAACAGTGCATGGAGGTATCTGTTCAAGTTCAGTTGTTTGTTGAATTGTTAAACTATTATGTTTACTTCTATGAAAGAGGCAATAATAATGTAAGTAAAATGTTATGTTTCTTTTGAATATTCATTTCATATATTAGTTAAGTTGATTGCAATCAAAAATATATTTAAATTTTTATTTTCAGGTATCTGTAGACATATTGAATCAATTAATAGGTCAAATTAAGAAAGAAATTACTGGTTTAATTGCAAATGAAGAAACCGAACAGATCACAAAACATTTTGAAAATACAATCGCGCATTTAAAAAGTAGAATTGAATCTGTCGATTCTGAAGATTCTGTTTATAAAGCTTTAGAAGAATTAACATTATAATATTATTAATATTTTAGTTAATAATAGGTCCAATGTATTTATTAATATGTTTTTATTGATATTTTTTAATTTTAATTTTATTTATTAAGTTAATAACTGTTTATACATTAATTATTCATTTTACTATCTTAAAATATAGTTATAAAATTTATACTTTTGTGATTTATATACATATTTATTATATTATATATAACATAAAATAAATAATTTTAAGTTTCAATCATATATTATTTTTTGTGTCATTTTGATAAACAGCTTAATATTATATTTATATATTATCATTGGTTTTTATTGTCTGCAAAATTAAAGGATAATATTCTCAAAGGATAATACTATAACTGTTGTGCTCATACTGCTCGAAAGATATGCTTATGGAAAACAATTAAGTTTGTACTTGTGTAATTTATTATATATTCACTACCTACTCCTGTATATAATATAGTGTTATTAGTTCAAATATATTTAAGACCAATGTAGAAATGTACAATCAGATTGATGAAGTAAAATTCTCTATTTTTCAATCAATCTTGTAGTGTACCTTTTTTCTTTTATATCATCAAGATGAAATTGAAAACGACTCTCCCATAAATATTTACTAACGATTACTAAATAATTTGAGTTATTATTTTCCTTCATAGCAATAATAGTTATTTTCATTACAGATATACCTAGGTGTGAAAATATGTTATAAATTTTATAAATATTTTATCAATAAACTATGGTTTAGATTTATATAATTCAATGTGAATAATCACAATTAATGAAACAATAAATGAATATTTTAAAACTTCATAATTATATGAAATTACGGATCATTGCCAAATAAATAATCTTTTTAAAATACATTGAAATTTTTATATAATCAACTTCTATTTAACTATTTGAATATATATAGTATACAAATTTATATATATATATATATATATTTTCACTATATAATTAAATTTAATGAACTCTTTATTACAATTTTTTTTTGTTACCCATGAGACTGTTATATAGAAGTTTCACTGTAATATATGCTATGGAATGCCTACATTATAACTTATATAGGCGTTCAAATTTTTTTAGTTCTATAAAAAATTTAATTTATTTGTATTTATTGAATTTTGTTGCAAACCTAATATAACTAATAACTGACAACTGAGTTAAATTTATATACAATTATTTTTATTTATAATAATCAATGATATGTTAATATAATGGAAATTAGGTAAAAACATTTTGCCAATCAGATATATTATTTGTTTTGACATTTTGAATTAACGTATTACACAAAATAATATGATTTGATACATAAATCGAAATAATCCAGTATAAAATAGTTAAAACAATATGGTGAAGAGTGAGATTTTAATAAATGAGAGATGACAAACTTTTCAAAATTGGAAAATTGCAATAGGTTACAAAGTAATAATTTCTAATGAAATATAATCAATTTGAGTTAGGTATTAAATTTAACACTTAATGTACAGAGGAATAATATTAGATAATTTACATTGAAACATTGATTAAATAACACTTTTACATTTTTAAACAGTTTGATTGCATTTACATATCAACATAATATATAATAGTACAGTATTTTTAAAAATGAAGTGTTTACACGTTTTAAAAGAATCATATTTAATATGAATCTATTTAGAATGATCAAGTATACAAGTGTATTTCGGAAAGTATCTTTTCAAAAGCTGGCTACATCATTTTCGAAAGACGTAATAGATTATCAACAAAAAACGCGGAAATGTTAATATTTTTAAATAGTAATTATTAAATACAATTGACATACGAATAAATAAATAAATTAAATACTAAATTATTAAATTAAAATGTGTAATTAAGGTAAATTAATTACTCAAAATTAAATTTAAATTATTTAATGTCTTAAAATCTACGAATACAAAAAAAAAATAAAAAAAAATAGGTATTTGAAATTGCGTGATAATTCTTAAACTTCTAGGAAGATTGTTCAAAATTCAATAATTTTTATCGAAATTTTATCTCGTTGTCATTTAGTCAATTTTGGTTTTAGAGCTATGGTAAAAAGAACAAAATTGATTTAAAAAATATTGATCTATCCAAATCTGTTGTTAAAAATAAGTGTTGCTATTTAAAATAATGCAAGTTGTGTTGCGCATGCACACAATAAAAATAGTTAAAATTTGAAAACTATCGAAAAATGTGTATTTATGGCTTCTCTATCTCCTCGCAAAAACCATATATCAATCCGATGACACTGGACAAAATAATTTAATGTTACCTTTTAAAATGGATCGCACTGTATATACCTATATTTATAATATTTATCCATTCAAAATAACCCGGGTTCAGAAAAATATAATCTGGTAACCCTAATCATATAGTATTAAGCATTAAATAGTATGATTTTATTTATACATTTTTTGAAATATTTTATATATACAATGGGATAAATATCTGCATGAATGAAATATATTGTAAAGTCCTGATTTCTTACTTAGCATAAAGATTTTTTTAACAATATAGGAACGAGAATTTTTTGATGGACAAATTTAAAATATAATAAACATATTTATATATTTTTTTTTAAAGTATTAAAAATATTCAATATATTATTTTATGATTTGGCCATATAATGTCTTTAATGCTCTTAATGATATTTTATTGAACATGATTTCAGTATTATAAAAAAATAAATTGCATATATTTCATAAACTTTCAGTTTATTATTTTCATAATTGATGTTAAAATATTACAATTATATTTTAGGTATATTATATATTTGTCTATATGTCATAAAATAATTATTAAATATTATAGAATATTTTTTTATTAAATTTGATTCGAAATTATACTTTTGTTTACTTTTTTCATAATGAAATGTAAGATTCCAAACGATATGATTTTGATCATGCATTAATATAATTTAAATAATAAAAAGATTTTTTTATAAATCAAATGTAATTTATACATATTATAAGAATTTATTTGTGATTAAATACATCAAATACATCACTAAGCTTTGGAATAGGTACAAATAGTATATTTTTAAGATGCATAATAATACTCAAATTCATTTTTATTTTAAATAAAGTTTCTACTATAGCACGTTAAAAATAAAGTATGCCTAAAATTAGAATACATTCTGGTAGTTTTTGTTGCTATACAAAGCAATATACTGAAATATATTCTAATTTAAGGCAGTTTATAAAAACAATTACTCTAATAAATCAATATAAAATAAACAAGTTTAGTTTTGGTAATATTTTAAAAATTGTTATCAGTTTGTGGTGATCTCATTACTCCAACACCACCTCCAAGTCGTCTGTAATTCATTGTACCACATAATCGCCACTGATTTTGACTCTGATCATATACTTCAATAGTTTTTAAATATGCTGTTCCATCAAACCCTCCAACTGCATACAACTGTCCATTAACTACAGCTAAACCTACTCCACTTCTACGAGATGTCATAGCAACTATCGGAGACCATGCATTTGTATGAGGATTATATCTTTCTGCACTGCTTAGCTCCATACAATCATCACGGCCTCCAACTGCATATATCATGTCTTTATAAACAGCACATCCTAAATGTTTTCTTCTCGTTGACATTGGTGCCATTACAGTCCATTTGTTTTGTCTTGGATCATAACGTTCAACAGAACTTAAAGGAGATTGACCATCTGAACCACCAATTGCATATAAATATCCTCCTAATACTGCAACTGCAACACCTAACCTTCTAGTAGTCATTGGGGCTACTTTGCTCCATTTATTTTCTTTAGGATCATAACGTTCAACATGGCTCAAACATTGCACACCATCTTGACCACCTACTGCATACAGCAAACCATCTAAAACAGCAACGCCAACACTTGTGCGACATGATGTTGTAGGAGCCACATCACAAGACCATTGATTTGTTTGTGGATCATATCTTTCAATACTGTTAAGGTAAGACTGACCATCATGTCCACCAACTGCATATAATAAATCATTAAGTACAGCTACTCCAACTCCACATCTCCTTTTACTCATTTGTGCCTGTAGCTTCCAATCCTCTGTTTGAGGATCGTAACGTTCAACTGAAGCTATAGCATCTCCACTGCACCATCCACCAACAGCAAATAAAAGTTGACCTCTTTGAGTAGGTTTACGAGGTCTAGTTCGAGGTCCTTGCATTAAAGGTCGTTCTTGTGGTAAAAGTAAATAGTTTTTAGCTTCATCAACAAGATCTCTACAAGTTTCATCACTACGAACTAATAAATCAGCTCCTACAGTGCCAACTAAAAATTTAGGACTTAATAAAGGTAGTCTTACATGTTGAAGTACCTGGGGGAGATTCTGTCGTCGCTCAGATATGTTATACTTGACCCAAGACATTGCTGCATTAAATACTTGTTCCTCTGTTCTGACATTAAGTTCATCACTGGCAATTAAATCAATCAGTTGTGTAACAGGAAGAAGAAGGAATTCCTCACTTTCCATAACTTCTTGAAAATTATGCTGAGTATATTTATCAGCTACACGTAATAAATCAAGACAAGAATGTGTGTCAGCAAATGCTCTGATGCCAAGACAATTTGAAGGATCAAGTTGCCTTCTTAAAAATTCGCAGCAAATATCCTGAATTTCAGTCAATTGCAATAAACAAGCAGCTGGAAGAAGAGTTTGAACATTTGATTCTTCCACTGTAATTCGAGCAGAATAACAAAATTCTATTAATAGTTCCATAGCTATTTCATCCATATCACGTATAGTAACTTCTGTTTGTCGAGATTCGGCTAAGTCTCCATTAAACATTGCCCTAAAGTATGGACTACATGCAGATAAAATATTACGATGAGCGAATATTTTACGATTGTTAATATTGAGGACAACATCACATAATTCTCGATGGCGACGCATTGAACTGAACTCGGCTAACATACATCTTGGATGTTTATCTGAGACGTGTGTTAGCCTATTAGGCAAAGGTGAATCAGTTTCTATAGGACCCATATGAAATGCAGTTGACCGTGCACCAAGGGATGAAAGGAGATGTACAGGAGGAGAACACCAATCCCACGTACCTATAAAAAGAAACATAATAATAATTATTCGTGCATTCATAGATATAAGACATCTATTATTATTAGATAATTGGTAGAGTAAAGTGTTTACACAAATTTATTGTTAAAAATTTATGCTATATATACTAGTGAGAAAAGCCATAAGCATGTAAAAATAAATTTCTAAAAATCTTATAAAATTTAATTATATAATTAACAAACATTTTGAACTGAAAATTGAAATAATCAAAAAGCTTTGACATATGTATCTACAACGATAATGCTATAATGCTATAATGTTACATATTCTACAGGTAAAAATCCAATTTGGCTTTTATTAAAATTATAACAGAAAATGAAAAATTAATAAATATAATCACTTTTAATTTAAAGAGATATATGAAAATTAGTAACAAGAATATTTTATTATCATATATCGAAACCAAATTATTAGAAGTATTTGGTAAAATAGCAAATACAAACAAATTTTTTTAAAAAAAATACACTTGTATGCACTAAATTAGAGTAAATTAGTAAATAGATAATTTTATAAAAGTTATTTTTCTAAAATGATAAAAATTAACAATCAATGAGCAAATATTAACTGAAATAGTAACAGAAATAATGTCAACAAAAATTTTATTGACTTTTATAACAATTGAATACAAATGTATAAAATAAGAATATTTCAAAATTATAAAGGAATAATAATAAGCTCTTAGCTAAAAAGGGACCTAATATGAGTTATTATAGTTTGAGAAAAAACTTAAGTAATTAAAACTCAAGTACTATATTTAATACATATACATTACATTGCAATAAATCTAAATACAAAATTTTGATATAGGAAATTTAAATCCATAAAATAAAAAAAGGACAAGATAAAATTATACTAACAATTAAATTCTGGGATTGCTTGTTGGCTAAATTTATTATTCAGAAGAAATTTGATTAATTGAGAAAAATTTGTGAATCTTTTTAGAATAGCTACCAAATTGAGTCATTAATAATTATATTTAATTTTATAAATTATAATAATCAAATGAAATGCATACAATTCAAAATATATTTTTAATGAAAGAAAATGTCTTATAAATTAATCTTAGATATTCAAAAATAAGAAGTATAAAAAATATATTATATAGCAGCATCATAGAATGGTGTAATGATGTATAATGAAAAGAAAAATACTAACAAGTATAACTGTAAATGTTAATAAGGATAATATAAATAAATAGGCAAGTATAATTTAACGGAAAGTATTTTTAAAAAATATTGATACTAATAATAATTATTATTTAATAAGTATAGTAAATTACAAGTTCATGGATGTTTATTGAAAGATCAACACAAGATACTGGATAAAACAAAATAAGAATTTATAAGAAATAAACTATGCAGTGATTGAACAAAATCCTGTAGATAAAAGGCCCTTGGGAAGACCAAGAATGCGGTGGGAAGATGTTATAAAAAAGGATGTTGAACAGATGAGAGGTTACTCCAATTGGAGAACTCTAGCACTGGATAGAGAAGGATGGAAACTTGTTTGTGAGACGGGATGGTCTTAAAGGCTCAATAAAATCTAAGAAGAAATAAATCATCATAGTACTTAAATAATTAACATGAAAACTATGATTTAATAAATAATTATAGGTAGAATATATTTAAAAATAAAATATTTTAATCAATATTATCTTAATAACATAAACTGCACATAGATATATTAAGTTTTTAAAATAAAATATATTAGGCACTTTAGAAAAATAACTTGATAAAATAAAATTAACTACAAATATTTCACAATTAACTTCAACAAATTATTTAATTACATTTAATAATAATTATAATAATATATAATTTAATAATAGATTAATTTCTTATATGTTAGGCATCTAACATCAAAATGTTTCAAAATAATCTTAGTATTATCCTACAGTATTGAATATTTGAACTAGGTCAAACATCAAAACAAAAGAATCATGCATTATTAGTTTAAAAAAAAATATATATCAAAGGTGCATTAAAATAAAGAGCCATACCTTCAATTTTTGCTGCCTATTTTAACAGTCTTAGAATAAAATAAAATGTCAGCGGATTCAAATATTACGAAGAAAAATTGATTTTAACACTAAAAATTAGTAAATGCATATTTGTTTAGTACAATTATAATTTAAATTTAATAATATTGTCCTTATGGACGGACGAAAAGTAATAATGTTTTACCTCTATATATTTCGAATTTAACTAATAACAAATTTTTTATAATACCCGATAAGAATTTAATTATAATATTTATTATTTAATTTTAAGAAACTTTATAGTTATAAATAATAATAAATAATAAAAATAAATACTATCAATAATGTTATCGTAATCGATACTGCTAGTACAGTGTGACCAGATTAAAACGTGAAAATAACCCTTGGATGACGTTGGCTGCGCGCCACTGCCTTCCTTTTTAAAATTGTACACTCTTTTCACCGGTGGCGGCGAACCATCTACCTCGTATGGTCATGATGCCCATTCCCTGGTAACGAGTACAATAAATCCAAATTTTTTATATTTATTTTGCATATCACGACTAACAAACCCAAAAGATATTTTGCACTATCGTTCGAAATTTTAATCAGTCGTTTCATAAACATGTCCCGGTAATAGTTACTACGTATTTAGTCTGGTTTAAGCGCCCATTTTAAATTGATTTTTTTTTTTCGATGAACACGAACAAGTCAATCAGGTGCCGTAACAAAATGACAAGAACCAAAAGTATGTCTGAAATATGCAAATCAAACAATCGGTTTACACGTTGTTGTTCACGGTTCTTCGTACCTTTAGTAATATAGATATATGCAGTGGCGTACATTCAATCTTGCTCTGGGGCGGGGGAATTTAACAAAAATAATCTTTATCTTTTTTTTTTTCGTTGCATAGATAAATAAGATAAATAACTGTTTTAAATAGATATTATTTTATACAACTTTTTTACCAATTTACAGTTTACTTTAACATTACAGTAAATTAATAGCTATTGGAGTATAAAAACAGCATAGTTAACAAAATTTTTCAAATATCTATCATTATAATTATTTAATTATCATAATATTTGTATAGTTTTATATTTTAAGTTCAAAGCGTAATAATGAAACTACGAATATATAACACGTCATCAATAATAAAACAATTTTCTTTTTTTTTTTTTGCCCTGGGGGGGTTTGAACCCGGAACCCCCCCCCATCCGTATGTACGCCACTGGATTTATGTAATAAAGAGGTAAGTAACTGTGCATTCAATGAAGGACGACTACCAACACGTCATATGCAAGTCTTTGATAGTGGATATACGGTGGTGTATGTTACTATGATGTACCTTATAACAAAACTTAAGGTAAGAAAATTTACTTTACGCCTAATGATGATATAATCGTAGTACACTATACTTTTTTTTTTACGATATCAGTACTCGGTGGCGGGCCGAAAGGCTCAAGTTTAATGTACTTGCGTCAACTTGTCAAAGGTGGTAGTACCACTCCGTGCTGAATTACAAACAAGACCCGACTTCTTGGCTCTTTTGATCAAATTTTATTTAGATTATAATCTATTTATACATAAATTTGTTATAAGTAAATAATGTTTATTAGACTATTACAGCATATTTTTTTATTGTAGTATTGATGCTATGATTTGATATATATTTTAACCAACACAGTATATTTTAGTGTAACAATATCTTAATGACTTAATAATTGATAAGTAATAAGTATATTATTAAGATAACTTGAAATTGTCAAATAGCAATTAATCCACCACATCCTCGTCTGTCTTTATATTATCATTTCTAGATAATGTTATTTGTATTATTATATGAGTAACTTCCCCTACCCTTAAATTTTCTGGTATTATACGCAAACTTAGAAATTTAACATCATTTTTTTTTTTAATTTAATTTTTATTATTTTTTTATAGTATAATACGCTCCTCCCTGAAAATTTGTTCTGGGTACAGCCTTGATTAGAGGGTGGTTGTGGTGATATATACTTAAATATCAAATAGCGTCATTTAAAATTTAAGTTTAGTCCGCCACTGCCAATACTATGCATTGATATATTGACTGAAAAACAATTATATATGAACATCGAGACGGTATTTTTAAAAATAAATTATATATGTGTACAATAGGTACAAGTTAAGGATACAGACGAAAAAAAAAATAAAACTCGTTTAATATTAGAATAACTGATTTATTTGTAATGTCAATAAAATATGTTAGTTATATTTTATATTGTTTGGGTTTGATATTGGTTGAGTTAATGTTTTATGAATTAAAATTAACAATGAACATGCCTTGAAACAAAAAAAAAAAAAGTCAACAAGCAAAAATAATATATAAATGGTTTATTTTAAATATAGGTACTATGAAAATTATTAATCTTATGTGTACATAATGGTTTTAATGAATAATATACTGATAACTAAATAACAAATACATTTTCGACACCACCCCATATCCCCAACACCACCACGATATTGGTTATTGATGATATCGTATGCATATTATTTTATAAAATATGAATTAGAAAGTTGAAATATGTTAAGTAATACATTTAAATACGAGTAATAAATTTATTTATTTTTGTTTAAAAAATTCTTTTGATACGTTATTTTTCAAAACATTTGACTGAAATACATCAATTGAATAAATATTCGAATTAAATATGATTTAAGAAATTATTAAGTTAAATATGTTTGAACTAAATATTTCTATTTCTTTTCATACCTTTCTTTTTGAGTAACATTTTTCTTATAGCTTTTTTCGCTAATCTTATTATGTTTGTTTAGGTACCTTGATTTTTATTTAAAAGCTTGAATTTACATTTTTTTAAATTGCAGTTTCTGATCCATTTAGCTATAAAAATACCTTTTCAATATCAAAGTGGTGTTCGGTAATTCAATTATGAACGAAAATTTTCTAAATGATTGAAAACAGAGATGAAAACCTAAAAGTAAATGGTTATTAAAAATTGTTACAAAAATGAACTGAGTCCCGTGAAATTTCACTATATTAATACTAATTGAGTTCATATTTTAATACTGAGTCCCATAAAATTAAAAAAAAAAAACATTTTCCTTCTCATTTTTACAGTCTTAGGATTGTCTGTAACAAAATATTCTACAGGTATATTTAAGAATATTTATTTATTTTTTAATATTTTATAATCTAATAATGTGGGAGTATAATATAATATGAATAATTGTTGTATAATTAAACAAATATAGGTAACGATAAAATATCATTTTTATATTAATAAAAATGTATGGGATAAGCACAGGGGTGGATCCAGAGTCGGGAAACTGTGGGTCAAGCCATTTCAAAAGGCCATTTATTAGGGATGAAACTGAATTAATACCATGTAAAAAAAAAAAAAAAAACACAATATGCTCATAAAAGTGTATAAGTATATTTATATTACATTTTAGAATTAGTGATACCACCGATAATAACTTATTTACGATTAATAAATATAATCTAATTTTATCAGCGCAACAAACGTAGGGAATAAAATATGATTTACTTAACTTTCTACTAAAATGATATAATTTAAAATTTAAATTATGAATTGAAAAATTTTAAATTTTGAACATACATGGCATTCATATTTCAAGAAACTCCGATGGGCCAATTGTCCAAGAGGCCAATTTTGTCAACAACTATTAACTGTGGATCAGCTGACCCCCCGGATAAGCATTGTATATATTATTCAAGTCTAGTTTCTGTGTTTGATTGCGACGTAAGAAATAAAATCTGAAATTCCTGGCCTATGTTACTATATTATCTGACGAAAGTTATAAAAATTATATGAATGATATCACGTCCCCAAACCATACGTATATTATTGGAATATCTAGACTGAGTGGCTTTTGACACGCATTACGGCTGATGGGTATAAGTATGTCAATAACATTTATTTTAATGCCACGTGACATAATTTCCACTGTATCTGGACTCTAGAGGTTGATTTTTTACTTAACTCAAAATAATCTCCGTACTCAATTCATGTACTATTAGTTTCCTAACTCCAAGGACTCAATTAGTATATGTCCTGTTTGTTCCCGGGACTCAATTAATATACAATATCGAAAAAAAATCAATCAGGGTTAAATTATGCATATTCAATAATAATACATTTGTTTCTACTATTTATTGGATGTTAGGAACTTACGTAGTGTACTCATGTTAATTAATTTATAATTATTATAATATTGTATAAATTATAAATTTATTTTGTATCTATTTTTACTTTTTAGTAAGTAGTAAAATAACAGAACAAAAATAAGAATGAATAATATTTAAAATGTATTTATTTTATCATTATTTGAGCGTGTTTGACAGTAAAAACTATTTTTAAACATTTTAGAACAAGTAGGTCTATTTAACTATTGGTAAGCAAAATAAATTTATTTTGTTATTCTATTTGGCTAACATTTCCAAGATGTTTCTCTTTATTTTTATAAATTGATCATACTAAAACGAAGAAACATTAAAACAAAAAAAACAATTGATACATCATGCATATATGTATTTTAAGCTTTAACTGTTCATAGCATCTTTTTTATATGTAACCAACAGCCAATGAATTAAAATATTGAAAAGAATTATTATGATTCAAAAAAAAAATAGAAAATAAAAAATTAACAATTTTTACATTACAACTGAAATTGAATCAAGGTTCTTATTTTTTTTATTTTTATTATACCTACATTAATTTTCAAATAATTTAAGAATTTTAAAATATAACAATAATCAAAAGATTAAAATGAAATGGCTATTGTTCCAGGTTTTGCGATAAAACTAACTACACATTGCTATACTATAAATTACATAAAATGTAAACAAAAATATTTTATGTTATCGGTGGTTATATTATTATTTCCAGTAACTTTAATAATAATAATAATTTTTATTAATCATAAAAAATTAAAACATTTGTTTGGATAATCGTGAACTTAATACTCAGACAAATAGTTTATTTAAATATTTACTTTGCATTGAGATGTTGTTCGCTTAAAATAAAGAACAATTTCTATTCAGTAATTCATACAATAGGATTCAATTATAATAATGACCGGGTGAGAGTGTTTAAGATTTGAAGTCTTCGAGTCACTGACCTAAACAAAAAAGCAGAAAACTCTCGTTTGTGGTTTTTATGTTGTTCCATGAAGTGTCTAAAGTGATAATTGTATTGAGTTATACGTCCTAATACTTTTTTGCAATTCATTGGCATTATTCAAGGGTAGCGTTATCCTTTTTTGCAGTGTTCATTCATAAGACTAACTATGGATCAATAACTGCCGGGCACTTACGTCATGAACGCGAGGTTACCATGGGTACTTGTTGCGCGTCCCTTTGACGTCAATGGTATCGTAATTTACGTCATTGACTATTATGAATGAACACCTATAACGCTAATATTATAGACTAAACTTTCTCAATATTCAGCTATTTAATTCGATTTTTACATAAAAATTAGCATATCTTATGTCTGAAACACGAAAAGTTCTATGCATTATATGCTAATTATTAAATCAGATAATATATCATATAATTTATTTCTAATAAAATAATAAAAATTAAATTAAAATTAAAAATGATTAAATGATTAATACTCATAAATTAATATATAAATCACTAAAAATAATTAATTAAATATAAATAAATAAATAAATAAATAAAAACTTAGCCTGAAGTATTATTATATTTGTATAGTATGATCGGTTTCGAATTAAAAATGTATTAGAGTTGCGATTTTATTGAATTATAAATTATACATTTTTAATTTGAAACCGATCGTACTTTACAAATATAATAATACTCTGGGCTAAACTTGCATTTATTGATTAATGTTTATTTATTTTTATGTATAAACTGTTTGTTTATTTTTTCTATACATTAATTTATTTTTATTTAATAATTTCAATTAATATTTAAAAAATTATAATATTTTTTTAATTCAATAGTCAAATATATACTATTAAAACCCTACTGCAATAGTGATTTAAAGTTAATTGAGAATAAAATTAAAGGTGAATAATAGATAACATAATGTACATGCATGGATTCAGGTATAAAGTATGTTAGTGGCAACCTCAAAATTTTACAGGGGAAAAAGAAAAACTATTTCTGTAGGTAAAATCAAATATAATTACATAGGTACAAGCTATTTTTTTTGATTAACTTCCACGAAGTAAATGGTTTTATCCTAAAACTATACGTGCATCAGGCGTAATATTTATAAAAAAAAAAATAGATTAAAAAAATATCTGATGTTGTTTTATAGTTATATTATTTTAACCGTTATTATATGACAACTTGGTGAATAAATCGATATTTATGTTACTTTATTACTAAGCGTAACAGCTAAAACCGTTTTTTTCATGGTACAATACGTGAGATGATATCGCTGTCAAATTTAATTTTCTTGAATGGCTGGCACTTTAAAATCGTTCAAAATGGGTGGTTAAATTATTTTGTCGAATTTATTAGACTTCCCGATATGTGTATATATATATATTATATTATATTGCATTATATTCATTAATCCTCCTTGGTGCTATCTGTAGGTTAATTTCAAAATGTTTTCGTTACC